CCCGCCCCGCCCCGCCCCGCCCCGTTGCCATGCCTAATCAATGTAAAAAATTGTAATGCTAATCAATAAAAAATTCATGCTAGGTATAACTTCTAATTTATCATACACGACAGTATGGGATAATTTTAGGGAAATATAAAATTTACATTAGTGGTCACTATTTTGTTTTTCATTTTACAATATTACCAATTTAATAAATAGCTGTTAAATTAAAACGAGGTTCAAAAAATCAATTTAAACTAAGAGAGATAAGAAATGGCCAAACTTAATTAAAAAAAAAAAAACTATATTTAAAGCAATACTCCGTACACAAATTGGAAATGGTATCTTGGAATGAGTTTTGAATTTAAGTGTGTAGTTTCACTTTCACCTAACGCTGGCCGTGACGAACCGGAAATATATGGTGTTTTAACATGTTTGTATTATCGTTTTTCTCGTTGAATGAGAAAGCTATGTGAGATAGCATGTTTGTGATTGATTTCCATTCAGTTTCGTGGACTTATTTTAATAGAGCAAAGCTGCAAAATATTGACCATTCAAATTTAGAAATATAGTTTGGTATGCAATTAACTAGTCTTGAGTCGGAGGAAGATGACTCACCTACCTCTCCAAATACATATTTTCTTCAATTATTCCAAGACTTTTAATCAGTTAAGCATGTGATCTTCATCTACCCACATTCTCTTCTTCAACCATATATATATATATCCACTATCTTCGAACTATTTTGTATCTCATCACATCCCTTAATACAACACAAGCACCAACCATTCACAACCCTTTGCTCCAACCTGCAACATGGTGTCTGTTGATGAGATCCGCAAGGCGCAAAGAGCAGAAGGCCCTGCCACCGTTCTGGCTATCGGCACCGCAACTCCTCCAAACTGTGTGGACCAAAGTACCTATCCTGACTACTATTTCCGCATCACCAACAGTGAACACAAGACCGAACTCAAAGAAAAATTCAAGCGCATGTGTAAGATATCCTCTTCTTTCATTATTCCATTCTACACATATATAATGTATTCTGATCACACCATGCACAACAACACAACGCAACACTAAGACTAAAGCTAAAGTGTTTGTATATATAATTTTTCAGGTGAAAAGTCAATGATTAAGAAGAGATACATGCACTTGACAGAAGAGATTCTGAAGGAGAATCCAAGCATATGCGAGTACATGGCACCTTCATTGGATGCAAGGCAAGACATGGTGGTTGTTGAAGTGCCAAAGCTGGGGAAAGAGGCTGCAACAAAGGCAATCAAGGAATGGGGTCAACCTAAATCTAAGATTACTCATCTCATCTTTTGCACCACAAGTGGTGTGGACATGCCAGGTGCTGACTACCAACTCACCAAGTTGTTGGGTCTTAGGCCATATGTGAAGCGTTACATGATGTACCAACAAGGTTGTTTCGCTGGTGGCACAGTTCTACGTTTGGCAAAAGACTTGGCTGAGAACAACAAGGGTGCACGTGTGTTGGTGGTTTGTTCTGAGATCACTGCAGTCACTTTCCGTGGCCCAACAGACACTCATCTTGACAGTCTTGTGGGTCAAGCACTGTTTGGAGATGGTGCAGCTGCTGTTATTGTTGGTTCAGACCCTTTGCCTGTTGAGAAGCCTTTGTTTGAATTGGTGTGGACTGCACAAACAATCCTCCCAGACAGTGAAGGAGCCATTGATGGCCACCTTCGTGAAGTTGGACTCACTTTTCATCTTCTCAAAGATGTTCCTGGGCTCATCTCAAAGAACATTGAGAAGGCTTTGGTTGAAGCCTTTCAACCTTTGAACATCTCTGACTACAATTCTATCTTTTGGATTGCACACCCTGGTGGACCTGCAATTCTGGACCAAGTAGAGGCCAAGTTAGGCTTAAAGCCAGAGAAGATGAGAGCCACCAGACAGGTGCTAAGCGACTATGGAAACATGTCAAGTGCGTGCGTGTTGTTTATAATGGACGAGATGAGGAGGAAGTCAAAGGAAGATGGAAAAGCCACAACAGGAGAGGGTCTTGATTGGGGTGTGCTCTTTGGTTTTGGACCAGGACTCACTGTTGAGACCGTTGTTCTCCATAGTGTTGCAGCTTGATTGCCTCAATATGCTACACTAATATGTTCCTTCAACAAAATTCACCTGCTATTTTGTACTGTATTTTTTTTTCTTTTTGATTAAATCTTTGCTTGCTTAGTTAAACTTTTGAATAAAGCTCATTTTACATTGATGTTCGTAATGATATTGCTTTATGTACTGTTCCATATACATCGAATTTGTCAACGGATATTAGAACGGTCTGCAATTTCATATTTATTAGTATTTCAAAGTGACAGACACTTCCATTTAGTAATATTCTACCTTTTTATTTAATTAGAATATGATTATTGACCAATTTGTTTAAAAAAAGAAACGTATTACTTGATTTTTCTAGTCTAAAAGCTCATTAACAAAAAGAATATATAACAACTACACGTATGTTCTGTTACATCTTTTTTTTTTGGGTCAACAGTATAAAAGGCCACAGGCCACAAATAGCCCAAAAAGCAAAAGCAAAGACTCCTAGTAGAGTGGCTTAACAATACACACAAAAGCAAAGACTTCAGTTATCTTCAAGTTATAATATAGTGTATACTTATACCATGGTTGCAGCCATCTCAAAAACAAATGGTTAAGAAACAGCTAAACCCCAAAACTGGCCCATAACATATATGGTTAGGAAAAACAGTTCCCTGGCCACTGATTAGCATTCTGCATCTTATATTTTAAAAGTAATTCTACTTTATTAACTTAACGAAACCAATAATTTCAACTAACTTTTAAAATATGTAACCCAAAAACAAGCCAATTTATTTCAGTTTGTAGACATAAATTTTTCCGAGTTTATTACGATATAGAGGAATACTGTTAATTTTTCAATTCCAATACAATATTCAATATATCAGCTGTTTCAGACCATTCAAATGTCGGATATACCTATTTAGCACGACAGTTTCATGTCTAGAATGCAGAAAGGCATCTTTACAAGACGTTCATTACATTTATTTTATCCGGTAGAAAACGAGTTTCATGACGTGATGCAGAATTTTAACCACATACAAAAGTTCTAGAGGTATCTCTACAAGTAACCTTAGCCTGAACTATCACCGACACGAAGATCATGCTGCAACTGTTCTATAAGCACTTTTTCAACTGCATCGACGAAACTTGATATATTTTGCCGAATATGAGCATCTAAAGAATTAGCCAACTTCTGCAAAATCAATAGCCCAAAAGAAAAAAGTCAGCTTGGAAATCTTCCGA